CAATTCACCTGAGCAGGGAGTGGGGTGGGTTCTCCATGCCAGGATGCTCCTAAGGAGCAGGACCCAGCTGTTCCTTCCTTGAGGGAGGAGAGGAGGGAGGATGACCTAGATTAGCTACTCTGAGTCTAAACCTGCCTTTCTTCTCCTGCTGTGAGCTGATTCTGTGCTGGGCCAGGTGGAGCCCTGGGGTGAGGCCTTGGTGTCCCAGGAAGAGCCAAATGGCAGCACAGTCATTGAAGTGCTCCCCATGCCCCTTTATTGCACATGTGAGCCCCCACAGCTTCAGCCATGCTCAGCTGCTGGAGTCTGATCCTGCCAAAGGGGATCCTTCCCTGGATTTGCAGGGAAGGAGCAATGAGGGAGAGGAAAAATGGGGAAATGGAGAAGAGACAGTTTAGGGCTGGTACATTCCCAGGCTGTCATGTTTCTGCCGTTGCAGAGACTGAATAACCTTGGTTTGGGACAGCAGCAATCACAGAATTCCTGGGGGTGTTTCTGGATTGGGCTAAAGCTGTAACCTTAGAGGAGAGCCAGGCTCACCCAGGGCTTGCCCACCCTGGAGTTGTACCTGAGAAGCAAATCAGGCTCTGACCAGACCCCTCTTGTAGCCCAGATGTGCTCTATCCAGAGAAGCAGCAGGATGAGGATTCTGAGGAATCTGATGAGGAAGAAGAGGAGGAATCTGAGGAGGAAGAAGAATCTGAAGAGGAAGAGTCTGAGGAGGAAGAGCCACCACCAAAGAAGAGGTAAGGCAGCATGAGAGATGAGTGGGCTCCTTTGGATGAAATAAGTGTCTGTCACAGCTGCAGAGTGCTCAGGTGTCTCTTGCTGTGGTCGCCTCTCCACAGGGCTGTTACAGGTGTTGGCAGAAGTTTCTGGTTATTCCTTATTCCAGAGATACTGACCTCTCCATTCCATAACTTGAAGCCTTCCTCTTTTCTCCTCAGATGAGAGACAGCCTGTGTTTATTCTTTGTGTTGCCTTTAGTCTCCTGCTTTAGAAACTGTGATGTTTCACGTGGGACTTTTTGTATTTATTGTTGCCTTAAAAGAATTCTTCCCTACAGTAATTATTTGCAGCTCTGTAGCCAGATATGGGACCTGCCTCACTCAGAATTTGGACTTAATATGAATGTTTGTTAAGTAATAAAATCCCATTTAGAGAGGAGAGATAGTGCTTAAGGCTCTTAATTGTTCTGACAGCCGACTGATTCACTGTCATTATTTATGTGTTTATTTGCCTAACAAAGGGGTTGGAAGCTGGCAGCTCTGTGGGGATGGGAAGTGCTCAGTGTAGAGCTACCAGAGGAGCTCCTGCTCTTTGGGATTTAGCTCATGGAATGTGCTGGCAAAGGACAGGGATGCCAAGATGTGCTTCATTTATGCAAATTGCTGACAGCAGCTCTGCTCTGGGTACCATTTGTGCCTCCACTGAGCTCCTGTGCTGTCTCTTCCTGACAGGATGCAGAAGAGACCACCCCCCAAATCCCGGAGCAGGGCCCCTGCGATGAAGCGAAGAGAATCCAAACCCAAGCCAAGGAAAACCCCCACCGCCCGCCGGGGCAAAGCAAAGCCCCCTCCCAAGGTGAAAACCCCTGCTAAGAAAGCCAAACCAGCAGCCCCAGCCATCAAGAAAGCCTCCAGTGGCAGCTCTTCCAAGAAACCAGCAGCCAGTGGGAGGAAGGAAGTGAAACCCTCTGCCAAGGGCAAATCCACCATGAGGAAATCTCTCCGGGCAAAAAAGTAAAATATTTCCAATGTCAGGGAATCCCATGGTCAAATCCACAATCTTGTTTTATAAGTCAACGTGCATTTGTATTTTAGTTCTGATGCTTAAACACTTCTTTAATTTTTTTTAAATTTTTTTTCTTGAATGGGAATGATGGGGAAAAGCTGAAAACTAAATCAAACCAACCCGAGCATTTGTTAGATCTCAATGCTGTGCCTCGTGCCTGCCCCTCCCCTGGAACGAGTCATCTTTACTTTCTGCAATAATTTTAGGACTTTTCTAGGACGTCTCTAATCTGTACAGTTATGGTATTCCACGTGGGTTTCGGGGGGGGGGAGGGTTGGCTTTTAAAACAATTCTTCAGAGAAGATCTTTATACTTTTAGACAGCAGGAACAGGATGATCAGGGGAATGTGATTCTTTACTGAGAAGGTGCCGTGGCAGAGGAGTCCCCCCTAGATCCCTGCATGCCAAGGTCCTTGGTGCTCCCATGGAGGGAGCTGTGTACAGACAGCACTTGCACTGAGCCCTGAGGTGCTGCTCTCCTCAGCCACAGGCCCAGGGCTGGCTGCTCAGTTGGATCCTTGGTGTCTCCTGAGGGTCTGGTGCCAGAGGGGCTCCAAAAGGGGCAGCTCTTGGGTAGGTGAGTGATTTGAATTAGTGTTTCCACACCACATCTGTTACCTTAAAACCAAAATATATCAAAGTCTTCTTGAATCCAACTTTCAAATGTTTTTAAGAGATGAAAAGCCTGAGTTTGTCACCTCTTGTTTACCCTTTTTTAAAGAGAAGTTGGAGAGCTATACAATTGCTAATGTAGAGATGTTGATAAGTGAAGAACATGCGGTTTGCTAAAATAAAATGAAACTAGATTCCAGGCCTGCCTTCTGTGTCCATTCTCCTCACCCCAGCTGCTCCTCCTGGAAAGGTAGAGAGGAGGGAACACAGTCACCATGGATTGCTGCAGAGGCAGATCTTTGTTCAAAGCCAGCGGGATTTAGCCTGAGCCACTGCCAAGCTCTGTAGCTGGACCAACTCCTGACCTTTTTCTTCCCTGGTTTCTCTGGAGACAAAGGTGAGTGAGAAAAAAGCTCTGTTGGAACCTCTTGCTGGTCCTCTTCTCCCCTTGTCAGTGATCAGTGAGGACAAAAATCCCAGCTGAAACCTTCTCTCCTGGCCGTGCTCCCCAGAGCAGCACCTGCCTTCAGAGCTCACCTCCTCCCCACTCTGCTGTGCCCAGGCAGTGATGCCAATGGGACCTGACAGTCTCCAACGTGCTGCTGCAAAGGGCTGTGAGGAGGGGAGTCACACAGAAAGGGAGGAAACAGCTTCATTGAATTTATTCTTTTCAGCTGCTGTCTCAGTGTGCTGCCTTTAACTGGGAGTTAAAAAATTTCTATAGAAATGGCTTAAATTGTTCCCAACCCTGTAAGAAGGGTACAAACAGCAGGTTAGAAATCACAGCTGATGGGGAAACAGAGTGAAAGCTCTGATCAAAGAATGATCCACAGGGATGTAAAGCAATTAGAAACATTAGTTAATGGCTTGTTCCTGGGGCTGCTTGTACCGAAGCCATGGGGTTTGTTGGCATTGTGGTGAAATGAACTGGAGAAACTTCTCAGTGCTGGTATTTATGGGGACAAGGAGTCTTCACCCAGATGCTGGACATTTTTCAACCTCCCCATGGCATCCTCACACCAACAATCCCATGGATATTTGTTAAAACACTGCTCTGGATGACATAGATTTCTCACATCTGAGCAGGAGCACCTTGAATTAAGAGTTGTGCCAAAACCTTGGTCATGGCCAGACTCTGGCTGTGGTTTGAATTAAGTGGTTTCTGCACACCAAACCAAAAAGAAGTCACAGGGTTGGTTGTATTTAATCCAAAGGATTGGTCCAGGAGCAGTGACTGGGATTGAATGGGAAAGTCTTCACTGCCAGCAGAGCAAACACCTTCTGGGGGGTTTGTGCTGGCTCTGCCCCTCGCTCTTCCCCTGTCTCTGCTTCCTGGCCAGACTGGGCTCCATTCTGTTGTTTCTTCAGCCCCATCTGTCCCTTTTTTTCCCTTTTCTTCCATGGTTTCTCCGCTGTCGATGCTGGGGTGGCTCTGCCATCGCCGCTCGCGGTGTCTTGGAGCAGCTGGTGCTGGCAGTGACCCAAGGGCTGAATGGTGCTGGTCAGACCCTTTTCCTCACATCCTCGGGATGCCTGGGGCACGAGATGGGGGTTTGTGGATGCAGTGCTGAGGGTTAGACCCCATCTCCTCCCCAAACTGCTGCTTTGCCATTCCAGGAGCCAAGCTGGTCCCTGGGACTGGGGGCAGCTTCCTTCGGCTGGTGTGTGAGGGAAGCTCTGGGTTCCGTGGTTGCACTGCAGTGGGGCCAGACCACCCCTCTTCATTTTTATTCCATCAAAAGCAGGCAGCAGTGGGCAAAACTCCACAGGGAACGTAGAAATTGGGGTGAAGAGGGTCTGAGCATCAGGGCAGGGGGTGGCGAGCGAGCAGCCACGTGTGTACGTGTCAGGGTTAGAAATCGCTGCTCCGCTGGGCACGCCGGAGGAGACGGGAAAAGACGCAGAGAAAATCAGTTGCCGCCGCGTTTTCCAAAATCCCGAGCGAGCGTTCCTGCTCGCCGCCGCTTCCAAGAAACGGAGAGAACCGAGGAGGAAAATTGCGGTGATTCATCGCGGGCAGATCGGAGGCAGGAAATGAGAGTTTGCTGCCTGCCCCGTGCCCGGCGTGGGCTCCGTGGGCTCGGGCTCGCCGGGGCCTGGCTGCCGGCGAGGGCCTGACACCCCCGGCTCGAGCATCCCTGCGCCGCGGCCGGAGCTGTCGGAGGAGCCACCGGCGAGGCAAAAACAACCGGCGGAGGCCGAGAGCGGGAGCAGCGGGAATTTTTCACCTGCGTTTCTGCGGAGCCATCCAAGCGAGAGCTGCCCGTGAGCCGGGGGATCCAGCGGGATGCGGGTCCCAGGGGATGCTCGGTGCCGGGTGTCACGCATCATCTAAATTGGGGGGAGGGAGGAGGTCAGCATCCCTCCTTGGGGACCCCCAGGGTGGTCGGTGGGCCGGGGGCTCCATTGAGAAATGAAGCGTGGAAAAGGGGGGCGGGGCTTGGGGGCTGCCTGTCCGCGGATTGGCTGGGGGAGGGGGGAGACCCCCGAATTGTGCCGGGAAGGAGAGGGGCCAGGCTGCGCTTGTGACGGGGAGATGGCACCGCAGGGACCCCCCCAAACCGCCGGGATGCGCCCGGGCAGCCGGACCCCCTCCCCCTTTTGCAGCAGGCGGCGGGGCCGGTCCCAGCCCGGCCGAGGGCTCCACACCACGAACCCGCTTGGGGTGGCCGGAGAAGGGTCCGGCGCGCTCCTCCATGGCTGCTCGGGACCGAAAAGCGCCCCCCAAATCTGCTGCCCTCGTCGCTGGTGTTTGGGGGTCACCCCTCCCTGGAGAGCCCCGGGGGTCTCGGTGCTGCTGCGAGGCCGGCGGGAAGTGGGATGGAGGATGGGAGGGGGAGGATGTGGGGGGACCCCAAAACCTTGCTGGAGTTCGGGATGTGAGGCTGTATGCCCCTTGCTTGGGGTCCAGAGTGTCCGTTCGGCATGCAGGGACCGCTTGGGTTTCAATTGGGAATGGAATGTGGGCACTGCATCCATCGGCAGGGACTGCTTGGGTTTCATTTGGGGATGGAATTGGGCACTGCATCCATCACGTTTGGGGTGGGGATTTGGGGACCCTCACATCACCGTCAGGATTGGGACGGGTGATTGCCTGCATGCTGCTTGGAGTGGGGACATGGCAGCCTGGACTGGACTTCAGGAGTTGAAGATGGGGACCCTCACATCCCCCGTGTGGTCAGGAGGTTGGAACCCTTGTGCTGGGGTTGGGACCATTTCACTGGGGACGGGACCTGGGGACATCTGCACTGGGACCTGGGGACATCTGCATTGGCGTCAGGACTTGGGGAGCTCCGTGCAGGGGCTGCAGCACCTCCCCAGGGCTCAGCGGGCTGGAGACAGGGGACAGCGGGGGCAGGTTGTGTCTGTCCCCTCCCTCCCCGCAGGGACAGTGACAGGGGCCGGACCCAGTCTCCCCGTGCTTGCTGCAGCCCCATCACCCTGGAGAGCTCGGGATAACTCAGATGCGGCATCGGAGTTGCCTGACCCCGTCCTGACCCGGCCTTCACCCGCACTCCCCGTGCCATGAAGAGGAAGCCGGGGAACGGGCGGGGGCCGGACCCCGCGGCCCCCCAGCAGCGAGCCCGCTCTGTCACCAAGCCAGCAGAGGTGACTTACCCATGGCAGGGGAGGGGCGACACCCCGAGATGCGATTTGGGTGCTGTTGCACCCTCATGATACCCCAAACCATCATCTCTGCCCTGGGCGGGCATCGTGGGGGGCTGTAGCTGACCCCGGTGGGGTTTTTGCCCCCCCAGTACGTGGGATCCTTCACGCTGGAGGAGCCGGAGCTGCAGCAGCGAGCGGGGCGGGTGGAGGAGCAGCTGCGGGCACTGAAGGTCGGGATCGAGCACTGCTCCCCTCGTTGGGAAACACACGGGGGGACCCCAAATAATGGGGGCACCCCCAGGGCCACAGCCCAGCCCCCAGTGCCACATCTCCCCCGGACAGGACTGTCCCAGCAGGAGGTCGGTGCTGCTCAGGTTCAGCTTGCAGGGGCTGAAGGTCTACGGAGCTGATGGGGAGGTAGGGGCTGGGGGGATCAAGGGGTGCTGGGGCTCAGAAGGGCTGAGTAGGGGCATCAGGGGTGTTGGGGGGGTCAGGGGTGCCGGGGAGGAGGACCAGCATTGCTGGGGAGGGAGGGGAGTCGGGGATGCTGGGAGGGGTCAGGGGTGTTGGGGGGCTGGTGAGGGGGCCAGGGGTGCTGGGGAGGTGGGTCAGGGTCTGACAAGAGGAGCCAGGGTTGCGAGGGTTGGAAGGTCACGGGTGCTGGGGAGGGGGGTCAGAGGTGCTGAGGGGTCAGGGATGCTGGGAGGTGTCAGTGTTTAGGGCGGCTGTACTCTCCGAACGCTGCTTTTCTCTCGAGAAGCTGTTTTGTGTGTGCAAGCGGGGGTGCCCCTGGGGGGGTCCGGGGGGGTCCCGAGGGTGCCCCTGACCCCCGCCCCGTCCCGCAGACGCTGCTGATGGCACACGCGCTGCGCCGCATCCTCTACAGCACCTGGAGCCTCCCCGACCGCCAGTTCGCCTTCGTGGCCCGCAACCCCCAGAGCCCCCCCAGCGCCCTCTTCTGCCACCTCTTCGTGGGGCTCCCGGGAGAGGTGGTGGCCCAACCCCGCCCTGCCCCCAAAATACCTTCATTATTAATTTTTTAATATTTGCACGCAGCGTCTTTTGCCTCCCCCAGGTCCAGACCCTGCACCTCCTGCTCTGCCGCTCCTTCCAGCTCTGCTACCTCCTGGCGCACCCCGAGGAGCAGGCGGCCGAGGGGGAGCTCCCGGGGCCGGGGGTGCTGCGGGAGCCCCTCAACCCCGAGGAGGTGTCACGAAATGTCAACGCCCTCGTGTCCTTCCGGCGCCTGCCCGGCCTCGGCCCGCTGGGCACCGGGGTAGGTGCCCCTGCCATGCCCTGCCCTGTCCTGTCCTGTCCGGCCCTGCCCTGCCCTGCCCGGCTGCTGCTCACACCCGGGATTCTCACACCTGGGCCTCTCATATAGGGAATTCTTACACCCGAGATTCTCACACCCGAGATTCTCACACCCGAGATTCTCACACCTGGGGTCCTCACACACCTGGGATCCTCACACTTGGAGTACTCACACCCAGGATCCTCACACCTGGGCCTCTCACATATGGAATTCTCACACCCAGGACTCTCACACCCGGGATTCTCACACCCAGGATTCTCACACCCGGAATTCTCACACTCGGGATTCTCACACCCGGGATTCTCACACCCAGGATTCTCACACCCGGAATTCTCACATCCGGGATTCTCACACCCGGGATTCTCACACCTGGGGCTCTCACACGGCGTTTCCTGGCTCGGTACTTTGGCACAGCCTGTTTGTGCTCAGGGTCTTGCAGGGCATTTCCCCCATACGGCGTTTCCCAAAATATTCTGGACTGAAAAGGCCCCACAAGGATGGCCAAGGGCAGCTCCTGGCCCTGCCCAGGACAGCCCCGTTTCTCTCACAGCACTCTGTGTATTTAGCACAGGGGGTTTTGCACAGCTCCCAGGCAGCCCTTGCGTGGCCTTTTCTCGCATTTTGAGCAGCATGCTGTCACTGTACACATCATCACCTGGTGCCTTGCATGGTTTCCTTGCATTTCCTTTTGTGCAGCCTTTCTTTGCACAGTGTTGTGTGTGCAGTGCTCTGCACAACCTTTTCATCCGAGGATCGCAGGGCCCTGCCCCGCACACTGCTCTGCTCATCCTACCTGAAATCGCCTTTCCCTGAGGGCCCTTCCTGCCATCGGCCACTTTGCACAGCTATTCCTTGCACAACTATTCCTTGCACAGCTATTCCTTGCACAGGATTTTGCAGGAGGCCACTTTGCACAGCTATTCTGTGATGGTGTTCACAGGAGTCTTAGGATGAGGGAAGAGATGAGGATCTGACTCCATGTTTCAGAAGGCTGATTTATTATTTTATGATATATATTACATTAAAACTATACTAAAAGAATAGATGAAAGGATTTCATCAGAAAGCTGGCTAAGAATAGAATAGAAAGAATGATAACAAAAGTTTGTAGCTCGGGCTCTCTGTCGGAGCCAGCTAAGCTGTGATTAGCTATTAATTACAAACATCTAACATAAGGTAATCAAAGACCTGTTGCATTCCACAGCAGCAGATAACCATTGTTTACATTTTGTTCCTGAGGCCTCTCAGCTTCTCAGGAGGAAAAATCTTAAATAAAAGATTTTATGAAAAATCTTAAAGAAAGGATTTTTCATAAAAGATGTCTGTGACACTATTCCTTGCACAGCGATTTTTGCAGGAGGTTTTACAGCGCATTTTTTCCTTGCCGTTTTTGCATAGCACTTTCCTTCCATGATATGTTTTTGTAGAACTTTTTTTTTTTTTACACAGCATTATTTCTCATAACTTTTTTTACATGGCACTTCTTGCATGGTGGTTTGCACGGCTCTTTTGGCATGGTATTTCCTGCAGCAGTAAAAAGGCTCTTCACAGCTCTTTTGGCACTGTGGTTTTGCACAGCATGGTGATTTTTTTGCATGGCATTGTTCCACGGCGTTCTGCATGGAATTTCTTCTGCACATCATGTTTTGCACTGCATTTTTTGCACTGCATTTACCCCACAAAGCTTTGCACAATTTTTTTTTTTTGTGGTGTTTTGCACAGCTTTTTTGGCGCCGCATCCTTTGGGCAGCATTTTCCCCGTGGTGTTTTACCTGACATTCCCCACTGCCAGACCCCCCCAGGTCATTCTCACGGCCTGTCCATCCCCCAGGAGCGGCGGCCCGAGGCGGAGGGCAGAGCCTGGCGCCCGGGGAACCCGTACTGCTCGCCGGTGCTGGTGCGCAAGAAAGCCATCCGGAGCAAAGTGCTGCGCTCGGGAGCCTACCGGGACTGCGGGGCCGAGGGGCAGCTCCACCAGCAGCCCCGAGACGCCGGTGAGTGCCGGGGGAAACTGAGGCACGGGGACGCACTGTGCCGCCGGTGTTTGGGGCGGAGAGGGGATTAACGCGCTCCCGCAGCGGCGGCGGGAGGGGAAAGCAAAGGGGCGAGGAGCTTGGCCTTCCTGCCCGAGAACGAGAGCGTCCTGGCCGAGAGCGTGTGGTCCTTCGCCGGCATCGCCAGGTGAGAGCGTGGCTGCGAGCAGCTGATCCTCGGCACGTACCTCACCTGCCTCACCCTGGGCCCTGCCCCACCCCGGGCCCTGCCACAGTCCCGGCCCCGGCTCCTGTTCCATTCCCGGGTCCTGCTCCATTCCCGGCCCTGCCCCATCCTCATCCCCTGCCCCAGCACCAGCTCCTTCCCCAACCCTGGCCATGCTTCATCCCCAGCTCTGCCCCATTCCCGGCCCCTGACCCACCCCGGGCCCTGTCCCACCTCCACCCCTGCCCCAGCTCCTGCCCCATTCCCGGCCCCTGCCCCATCCCCAGCCCTGCCTTACCCTGGGTCCTGCCCCAGCCCCATCCCCATCTCTGGCCGTGCCCCATCCCCATCCCACCCCGGGCTCTGCCCCAGCCCCAGCTCCCGCCCCAGCCCCTGCCCCAGCCACAGCTCCTGCCCCACTCCCGGCCCCTGCCCCAGCCCCATCCCCTGGCCCTATCCCCGGCCCTGCCCCATCCCTGCCCCGCCGCCCCCTCTCCCGCAGGGCCGCGGGGGTCTCGCTGTTGCGGCGGGACGTGCCCGGTTCGTTCCTGCTGCGCGCCGAGCCGGGGCTGCCCAAGCGCTGGTGCCTGTGGGTGCGGGCTCCGTGCGGCGTGGTGAGCTACGGCGTGCTGCGGACACAGCACGGCCGCTTCTGCGTGGAGGTGAGCCCGGGGGCGATCGGGACCTGGGGCTGCCCGGGGGAGGCGCAGCGGGTGCGGCTGCAGCGGCTGCAGGCTGTGCGGTCTGTGCGCCCCTGCACCGCTGCGGTGTGCCTCGCTGCATGCGTGTGCCTGTGCACGGATGCACCGATGCTCTGTGTGTGTTTGGAACACCCATGCATGGCTGCAACTGGGGCTGTAAGTGCGTTTGTGCCTCGCGGCGCCGGTGTTGGTGCAGGACAGGGGTGCGCTGCTGTGTGCATGCACCTAATGCACCCTTGCTGTGCTTGTGCATGGCTGCACTGGTGCCTCGGGGCAGGGATGCACCAAGGTGGGCTCGGTGCAGGTGTGGGTGCACACAGGGGTGTGGGTGGTGGGCACATCGATCCACAGGTGTCTCAGGGCACAGAGATGCATCTGGGCACGGCACACAGGTACTCCTGGGCGTGGGGTGTGCATCCACACTTGGGTGTGCAACACACCTGAGTTTTGGGCGCACTAACGCCCAGGTGTGTGATGCACGAATGCCCAGGAGTGCGTGTGGTCCCTCAGCCAGGTCTGGGTGCTTTGCTTTGTGGGTGTACCTGGCACACACAGTGCCCCAGCTCACGCAGGGCATGCAGGGCTGTGCTGCACTCACGCCCTCACCTGTGCCGTGGCTGCGTGGGTGCCGTGGCTCTGCTGCAGAGCCCGGGGTGTGTGAGGTTTGTGTGGGTGTGCTGCACTCGGGCACGCCGGGATTTGCTGCGTGGGCACTCGGTGCATGGTGCAGGGGTGTGTGGGGGGCACAGCCTGTGCAGGGGTCTCACCTCTCGCTCTCCCTCTCTCCCGCCCGCAGCACTCCAACGCCGAGTTCTCCAGCGTGGCCGCTCTCCTGGCGCACTACTCCGGCCCACCGGGGGGCTGCTTCTGCCGCCTGGGCCCCGGCCGGCGCAACCCCGGCTACGAGGAGCGGGACCCGGGCGGCGGCGGGGCCAGCGCGGGGCCGGGAGAGGCCGCCTGGGCCCCCGCCGCCCCCGCCGGGGCGCAGCACGAGCGGGGATAGCCCCGGACCCCGCACGGCCCCCCCGGCACCCCCGGCTCTCACCCGCTGCCTGCCTTACCCCGGCCCCGGCCGCTCCCCGCAATAAAGAAAGGCTTCGTGCATCGGAGCGGGGCTCGGCTGCTGCTCACACCGCCCGCGGCGGGACGCGCCGCACGCCCGTGTGCTCACACCTGTCACACAGGTCTGCTCACACCTGTGCGCTCACATTGCATGCTTACACCGGTGTGCTCACACCTGTCTGCTCACACCGGCGCACTCACATCTGTCTGCTCACACCTGTGTGCTCATACGCTCTCCGGGCCAGGCACTCGCACAACCGCACCACACGTTTGGGATCCCGTTCCTGCAGGTTTCGGTGCTGCACTGGTGCTCACGGGGGGTTGCACACCCACATGCTCACTCACCCTTGCCTGCACACGCAGGGGCCACAGCTGCGCATCGGTGCCATCGCACACTCGCGGCCCTGTGCACACTCACAGTCTGTGCCCTGGTGCACTTCCCCCTGCACACCTGTCCTCGTGCACACCTCCCTGCACACCTGTCCTCGTGCACTTCCCATTGCACACCTGTCCTCGTGCACACCTCGTCGCACACGTGCGCGCGCCCCCGCTGCAGTCACGTGACTCGGTGGGCGGGGCCTCTCTCCCGGCGCGGCCCCGGTCGCTGTGGAGCGCGTGCGCGAGGCCGCCTCCCGCCGCCTCAGCGCCGCCGGGCCCTCGGGTTCCGCGCGCGCCTCCGGCCAGTGCGGCACCGGCGGCGCTGCCTCAGGTTTTCCCTTGCTCAGTCCCCTTGGGCGTGTCTCGGCTCACAAATGTTACCTCAGGGTTTCTTACCCTTGCGTTTTCCGCCCTTCAGCTTTCCCCCAGGGTTTCTCTCACAAACCCTTCCCCCTTCAGAGTTCCACCCGCCGACCTGCGCTAATTCCCCCTCAGACCTGTTCCCACTTCCCCCTTTTCCCTGCATCCCTCCCCGGCTCTTTCTCCACACTTTCCCCTTCTCCCACAGCCTCCCTCGCTCGGGGATCCTTTCCCTGCGTGCCCCCAGTGAGGGATAAGTGCTTCCCTCCCACAGGGGGTGCAGATGTCCAGGGTTAGGCTTGCCCCAGCCTCGGGTTCCCAGCCCCCCGTGCCCCTCAGTCTGTGGGGCTGGTCTGGATGGGGGGGGTGACCTGAGGGGAGAGTCTGACCCGAGTGTGTGGGGTTGACTCTGGTGTGTGTGGGGTTGATCCTGGTATGTGGGACTGACTGGGTGTGTGTGGGAGTGACCTCAGTGTGTCACTGACCCCGGTGTGTGGGGCTGATCCCTGTGTGCGTGGGGCTGATCTGAGTGTGTGTCGCTGACCTCGGTGTGTGGGGCTGACCTTGGTGTGTGTTGCTGACCCCAGTGTCTCTCACTGACCCCGGTGCCCATCACTGTCCCGCTGTGGGTGGCCGGGGTGGCGATGGCCGTGCCCTGCCGGCCGTGAGCGGGCAGGAGGCGGCCCTGGGGCACGGGGCCATCATCGGCATGGACAGGCACGGGGCGGTGCCTGGTGCGGAACCCCGCGGCCCCCGCCGAGACCCCCGGCAGTTCTGCTTCGGGGGGGCATCGGTGGGGAGCACAGCACCGAGCACAGCTACAGCGAGATCGCCTAGGAGCACATCTACAAGGAGATCGCTACCCCCTGGTGGAGGTCAGTGGGCACCCAGGGCAGTTTTGGGCGCCGCAATGAGTTCCAGGAGCGTTTGGACAATGCTCTCAGACACAGGTGGGTGGGATTGTTGGGGTGTCCATGCAGGATCAGGAGTTGGGCTCTGATCCTTGTGGGTCCCTTGCAGGTGAGCATATTCTGTGAAGACAGCTCGGGACAGAGGCTGAGGGTTTTGCAGGTGATCCCCAAGTGAAGCAGGATCCACTTGACCTTCCCCACCTTCTGCCCGTGGCAGAATGGTGGAACAAGATGAACTTTAAGGTCCCTCCCAAGCCAAACCATTTGGGGTTCCCGGTTTATGGGCAGAAAGCCCTGTCCACCGCTTCCAGAGGCTTAGCTCCCAGGCCAAGCCTGGGCAGCAGAGGAGAGCAGACAGTGTTCCAGCAACAGTCTGAGAAATCGGAAAGAAACAAAACTTTGTTAGCAGCCAGCATAGCACTAAGGAGAGAGTTACATTGAATTGTTTTAGGTGGATGTTTATATCACAGAATCCCAGAATGGTTTGTGTGGGAAGGGACCTCATCCCATCCCACCCCCTGCCATGGACAGGGACACTTTCCATTATCCCAGGCTGCTCCAAGCCCTCTCCAGCCTGGCCTTGGACACTTCCAGGGACCCAAGGGCAGCCACAGCTGCTGTGGTATCAAACTGATGATTTTAGGGACAAATTTACTGTCAAGTGAGAAACCTTAGAGAAGATGGGGAGCCTCAGCCTGGATTAGACTGGCAAAAGGACGGGGCGGGGGGGATCTCTTCGTTTCCTTGTTAGCAGGTCAGCACAAGAAACAGCTGAGGTGAGAAATGAACCTCTTAAGCAAAAAAAGACCAACCTCCCTCCCCAAAATGTTTTGTTAGAAGAAGTAACATGGATTAAATGGCTTGTGATGGTTTTAAGATGGAAGTTCCTAATCATGAGAACAAGCAGGGCTAGAAACAGTTGATATTAGAAAAATAGGTTATTTTTTTTCTTATTTAAAACTTAAGAAATCCAGTTATTTTTTCTTCCTACCACACTTCTCTGAAATAAGGGCAAGTGACAGTGAACAGCTTGCCAAACAAAAATTATTCAAAGCTAGAGACCATCCCCTTGTCCACCCCACAACCAACTATTGTTCTAGTTGTCTCTTTGAATCTCATAAGATTTTTGTGCCCTATGGCAAAAATATGATAGTTTACTCAGTGTTGGTGTTGTCAACTGCTTTTCAACACCTGCACTGCTTCAAGATTCCTTGTTTTGAGAGAAAAACATTGATTTATATGCTAATTTTGTAATTGCTATACTCTGATGACGTGTGAAGATGAAGCAGCCATTTGATGTTTACTTCCAGCTCTTCCTTTACAACACCTTTTGAGGGGGTGGCAATGAGTCTGGACAGTGTGTTTCCAGTTAGGCAAAGATGATGGCTGTTTTCTCTGCTTTTCCCCCATTTCCAGGGTCTCATGGAAGGCTACAATGGCACCATCTTTGCCTATGGCAGTGGGAAATCCTTCACCATGCAGGGAGCTGCAGATTCTTCCTCACAGAAAGGGATCATCCCCAGGGTGTTTGAACACATCTTTGAGAGTGTGCAGGTGGGTGTGAAAGAGATCCTGGTGAGGTTTTCTAGAAAGAATTTGGTGTCCTGTGCCAAGAAGTGAGTGCTGATGGCATGGAGTGTGAATGGGGACAGGTTTGGGGTGCACTGCCCTATGGTATTGTCAGACAAGGGGAGAGGAATGATGCATCTGACTCCATTGATATCAGAAGGCTAATTAATTACTTTATTACACTCTATTATTTTATACTATATTACATTACATCTAAACTGAACCTGCCAAGCACTCAACTCTGCACAGAATCTCGTGACTCTCAGCCCACACTCCTGACACACACACACACCCTGACAGGCCAAGGAAACAAAACACCAGCACTGTGGGTAAACAAGCTCCACATTGCATTCTATTTTTGCACAGACACGGGCACAGCAAATGATAAGAATTGTTTTTTCTTTCTCTGAGGTTCAGAGAATGTGAAACCCAGAAATATTCTTGGGAAGAGCTGTGCCTTGCTTTTCTCTGTGAATAGAAATGTGGCTACACTGCTGAGGGCTGTGCACGGTGAGATGAACTGTCCCCTCATGCCAGGTGACACTGTGAGCTTGAGGTGTGGAAGGAGCAGGAGTTCCCTGCAGTGAGTGCTGAGTGGTTCCAGCTGGAGGGAATGGCCAGGGGGGTTGGATGAGGTGCTGAAGGGTGGGGGGCACCCAGCTGAGGGAGGGGCTCCCTGGGCTGGCAGCCTCAGCCCCAAACCCTCCCTGGCTCTGCAGTGTGCTGGGAACACCAAGTTCTGCTGAGAGCTCCTGCCTGGAGATCTACAATGAGGACACATGGAGCTGACACCAAGCAGAAGCTGGAGGTGAGGCAGGCTCAATGTGTCTTAATTAAGTGCTTTAATTAGCTCAGATGGGTGTTACCATGACTTACAGAAGTGCACCAAAGGTCTCTGTCAGAAGCCTGAGTGCCAGAATATGAAGTTACATGAGGAATATGGAAGCTAAGAGGGAGTTTTGAGGGACTTCAGTGAAAGTTTAGGAACAGGAAAGTTTAGTGGCTGGCAGCTCAGCAGCAGCTCTCTGAAAATCCTTCACTGGCCAAGGCTGGAATAAAGTGCTCATGGTGCAATTTCTTCCTCATCCTCTTCATCTCATGCTTGTCTCTATAGCAAGAGGATTCTGGGCCTTATAAATGTTTAATCTGATCTAGTGGAGCCACAGATGATCTCTTTATCTGCCTAAACCAAAAAGGCTGATCCTTTTTGAGGGCACACAGCAGATATTACTCCCCATGGGAACACATATGACATTTACAGGATCACAGGAGGGTAAACTCTCCCAAAATTCTAACCAGGGGGCTGACCTTTATAAAATTTACCTCCTGATGGCTTTGCAGATCGTTTTGTATTTATTCCTGGAGGGAGCTAGAAATCTCCTGTCCCAATTTACCTCCTTGCAGGACTGCCCTGGTGTATAAAACCAAGGCTGTAGCATCTTGCATCGCTCTGGGATGGCAGCAGACCCAAACTACCTTACAGGGCAGGTATTTCTAAAGGCAAACCCATCTCTGCTCCACGTTCCAAGCGTGCTTTGCCTGTCTCCTGCAGAGGGAGAGTGGGAGCAGGGGGCTGCTCGCTGCAGTTTCCCTTCCTTTGTTCCCCACCGGCGGTGACAGGGGTTTCCATGGTGACACCATTGGCGCTGGGCAGAGCCGTTTCCAGGGTAACTCTGTCGCGCTGCCTGTTGCTGCCTGTGGAAAATGCATGGATTTTATGATTGGCTTTTGGCAAATATTCAAATGAATGTTGTATGTGTTGTGTGAGAAAGTAATGCTGTATTAATTCTCTTAAGTAGCGTTTAAA